ATTCCTTTTTCCTTGAACAGTAATTTTCTTGGCATTTTCCTTTTTCAACTCAGGATAAATCGAGTCTACGAGACGATTAACCGTCCTATCGATCGAGGTTGGCGCTTAAATCGAGCTCCACACACATTTTCTGTGGTGCGGTGTGAAAATAAGTCTCTCACCCGCATCATCTCTTTTCTTCAAAAATCAAGTTCCTTCCTGTTTCTGTCCTTCAGTTCTCGCCATGCCATTTTAGCCATTTTAGCCATTTTAGAGCCAAGATTTTGTGAAAACTTCCCAAAAAGGGAGAGTGACGTCGCGTCGCTTCGGTTACAGAAGGGAGCAACTGTGTTACTTCCGCAAGAAATCCGGCAACTCCCGAGTTAAAATCCTGCCCCCAAGATCCCAACGGGATGAAGAATGATGCGAGGCGCTACCCGCATGTGCAAACAAAACGGTGGATAGTGGATGATCCTTTGAAGTACTGCCATCCTCGAAAAGTAGACCGAGAATTTTAAGGAGTTACCAAGTGCGGTTCAGTTAAAAATTGACGACATCGTACACACAGTAAAGAGGAGAAGTTCAAAAGAACACAAAAAAATCGCAACGTTTTCAAATAAGAAGCAAATACACTTTTGTAAGATGGGGACAACATTTTTTTTAGAAAAAACTTTTTCTTTCCTCCACGGAAATAAAAAATTTGTCCTCTATGCAGACATGCTCTTTTTGCACTAGATTTTGAATGCGGTTATCAGAATAACTCTACAACAATTTTCCAAAATTCCAAGCAGAAATAAAAGAGAAATTATAAATTATTTTCAGCATCGTTTCACAGAACAAATTATGGTAATAATTCTTTAATTATCAGAATGGCAAATTCTGGCTATATGGCCAAAGACTTTAGCCAAAGTAAACAAACGATTTTGACGAATTTGCAAAAAATAATAATAATTGGAGATATTATTACCTGTTTATTTAAATATTCGACCGACTTCAAAATTCAACATTCGCAGCGTCTATCAACACGTGGACCGGAAGCTAAATAAATTGACTGTGACAACTCTGGTATAATAAGAGATATGGATAACCCGCAGAAATATTATAATTATATATGACATTGGTGAGTTAAATTGCCATATTCGCCTAATTCTTAATTATCATTTATTACGACCACTAATATTATATGTATGGGTTTCTATCGTATTACGCCAATTACAACTGAGGTGTTATTTTAATCAAAACTTTTAATAACTTGTCTCAGCTGTGTCCTTTAAAAATTGTTAATTCATCTATGTACTAACTGCAGTTTGAAAGAAAATATAAAGTTGACGAAAAATATAATAATTTGTTACAAACTAAAACACTATTGCTGATGGCCGTTTCCCATTCTACAAAATAATATGGTATCACTGCTAAAATATAGGAAATCATGAGGAATGGCTAAACTAGTTTAAAACCTTAAAATTGTTACATTTTGACTATGCAGGGTTGTCACGCTTTTGCTCTTTTGAAATTCCCTGACTCTTCCAGGTTTTCCAGGTTAAAAAACGGAATTTTTTCAGGTTTTTAAAACTAGGTACATTTATTACCAAATTAAATAACTCTCTGACTTCCATACTTTTCCCTGATTTCCAGACAAAACTTTGACTTTTTCCCTGACTCTAAAGAATATTCTGAATTACTCGCAAAATGATTAAATACACAAAAAAATGTCAATAACTTCATTTTCAAATAAATATTTAATCATTAATATTTTTTCATAGAAATTAAGATTTTCAAAAATTTCATATTCAATAACATAAAAATATTATTATAAAACATGAAGATACCGATCACTCGAAGTGATCGCTTTCTTCATGTTTTATAATAATTAAAACTTGATACTTTGTTACTGTAACTTCTTCAAAAATTATTTTCATCATTTCGATTTTTCATTTCTAGAATTTTCAACTAATATTTTTCTTTAAGTCAATTTTTTTAAAATAATTTTTTAAGAAGTTCTTTGAGAATTTGCAAATCCTTCTTTTACAATTTAATTTTTCGAAATGTCGATTATTGTTACATTCTTCAATTAAATATATAATTAAAAATTAAGAAAATCAAATAATTAAACAAAATTCTATTAAACTTATTTTTAAAAACAATTAATTTTACAGAATTCTTAATTAAAAGTATGAAAGTTCAAATTTTCAAAGATTTTAATTTGAAACTTTTACAAAATTCTAATTCAAAAAATCTAAAATAAAAAAAATTTCTAAAAAATTAGAAAATTCTACGATAATTCAATATTATTTAAATACAAAAATAAATAATTTATTGAATAATTGAATGTTTCTTAAAATTGAACTTTCATAAAGAATTTTATCAACAAATTTTTAAATAATTGAATTCTCTTGACTTATTTTAATAACATTTTTAAGAGTAATTTTATTTTGAGAGAAATTTGATGAAAATTGTATAAAAAATAATTGAAATTCTGCCAAGAATTTTATTAAAATTTTCGAAAATAATTGAATTTCAGAGAAAAATTTTATTATTTATAAAGATAATTGAAATTTTGATTAGAATTTTTGTATATTTTTTAACATAATTAAATTTTTGCGAAGGATTTTACTACTTTTGAAAATAATTGAATTTATGCAATCATTTGTAATTGCTTTAAAATTCAATTTGTTTTAGTGTTTTTAACTAAAATTCATCTATAAATCCATTATTTTTAATAATCAATAAAATATATCTTAAAAAATTTAACTAATTTTAAAAGAATTTTAGTTATTAAAATTTTTAAAAAATTTTAATTAAATTCATGTAAATCTGAATTTTTACAAAATTTTAAATTAAAATCTTTTGAAGTTCATCTACTTAAAAAAATTTATTGCAATCGCAACCCTTTTAAAATTAAATTAATTTTGAAATATTTAAGGGGAGACCCCACCTTAATTTTGACCCCTTTAAAATAAAATTATTAAACGAGGTAATATTTTTTTTCTTGCATCATTTTTAACCTGAAAACATATAAGATGGTCAAAAATATTTAATTTTAATTATTGAAGAAGTTAGAATTTTTTTCTTTTGACCTATTGCATATTATCGCCAATCCATGCGAGAAGTTGTTTAGAATGGTAAAATATGCATGGGAAAAAATTTTCGTTAAAAATTATTAAAAACTGTAAAAGAAGATCGATTTTTAATATTCAAATCTTTAAATTTTGCCGAAATTTCGGAAGTCCTGAACCTTTATTTTTTCCAATTTGATGCTCTGAGTCGAAAAAACATCGTTAAAATTGACGATTAGCTCATTCTCATGGTAAAAACTATAAAAATCATGGCTTTTTGCATTTATTTCGGTATATATAAAGTATACCATAAAAGCTTCGAACTATGATTTTTATGGTTTTTACCACGAAAATGAGCTAAATGTCAATTTTAACAATGTTTTTTGAATAACAGCATAAAATTACGTAAAGCAAATTACTTTAAGCAAACAAGTGACGACGGCATAAATAGTTTAAAATCTATAAATTTTTATATTTTGACAATTTCAAAAATCTATAAATCATGGCCAAAGGCAAAAATAATTTAGAACCAAGGAATGTGGATATTGTCAAAATATATCAATTTTTCCGTTTTTAACTATGTTCACCGTTGGCCATGGCTTGCTAGATATTTGTCATGGTCAAAAATATAGAAATTTTGTGGGTTTAAAATATTTTTGTCATTGTCCCACCAGATTTTGACCATAGTTAAAATATATTTAAATTTTCAGGTTATTTTTAAATATTTTTGTCGTTAGCCGTGATTCACTAAATTTTAACCATGTTTAAAATAAACAAATTTTCAGGTAAAGGACTTTTCGTGGCGAAGGACAAAATCCTTCGCCATGGTTTTCTAAATTGTGACAATATTCTCTCTAAATCTGAATAAGTGAAATTTCACTTATTTTAAGTGAATATTCACTTATTCCATGTTTCAAAACTCTTCCACGTAGAATAAGTGAATATTCACACATGAAATAAGTGAATTATATTCACTTATGAATAAGTGAATTACATTCACTTATGAATAAGTGAATTACATTCACTTATGAATAATTGAATATTCAATTATGAGATAAGTGAATACTCAGACATTAAGAAGTGAATGTAAATAAACAATCAGGATCAATATTATATAAAAAAAATATTTATTTACTATCAACTATTTAACACTCTCTTCTCTTCTCATTATCAGTCTGAAACTTATAAACATATCAATTTTTCAACTTTTTTAAGCTAAATTCCCAAACGGTCACCCATCCTAATATTAACTGCAAGCAATGTCGCTTAACTTTGATGATCAACGAGAAACACTACAATGCCACTTAATAAGTTGCCTTATACTCATAGAAAATTATTGGGTGATACTTATAAAGAGTTATAGTTTATTGTGTTCTACTTTAACGTTTTGTTTAAGATTTCTCTTATTATATATGTATATAAATACTTAGTAAATAAAAAGTTAGTTATTAGATTACTGTTAATATAATATTTAACTGAATATTTTTTAAAAATTTTATTAAATTTTAAATGACAATTTTTATAATTAAATAAAATAAAAAATTTCTAATATATTAACTGAAATGATAAAAACATGGTTTTTAAACATTTAAAAGTAGGTATAAATAATAAATTGTAATATAATGCGCAGATGAATTTCTTTTTAACTAAATATTTCACTTATACATAAGTGGGGATTTCACTTATTGATAAGTGAAGACAAGTTCACACATAAAAAAGTGAATATTTCACTTATGTATAAGTAGATTCTACTTATTAATAAGTGAGAAAAAGGTTCACACATGAAAAAAGTGAAAATTTCACTTATTCAGATTTAGAGAGTTAGTAAAAAAATAGGAATTTTCAGATTTGCGGACATAGTCAAAATATGGTCTCGTTTATATTGAAATAAATATAAAATACATTTACTATTAATATTATTAATTCAAAAGAAACGATATCAAATTCGTGACTTTACTAACTTACGTAGTTTGCGAGCATCTGTGTATAAATTTCGTTTTGGTTGCTTACCTGAAACAAAGGATGAATCATAATTAGTACCTACTATTAATTATGAACTTCCTACAGGTAAATTTGCATTTAATTGCGATAATAAATAATCTACATTTGAAAATAAGGTCAGAATACACGTATAAATGTGAGTTTCTAATAATTATCCTTATAATACAGGATCCGAATAAGCAGGATATCTGCAGAATGCCTTAGACTTTCTAAATTTTCGGTTAGAATTCTTCAAAACTACGATATTATATTTAAAAATAAATTTTAAAACTGAAAGAAAAATTTCTTTTTAATAAAATTTATTTTAATTCAATTTGATAAAATTTTTAATTAATTGAACATCTTGGAACATTCGTTGCTATTGTAATTTAGAACTAGAAGCATAATGTTGTCTAATGAAATATGCAAAATGGTTGAGATGTAGGGTTGATACAATTTTATTCAAAAAATATTAATTAGTTTCAATTAAGTGTTGCCATTATGTTAAATAAAATTTTGTTAAATTAATAAATCAAAAGCAGATGCTATAAAATTGACAGTACCAATATTGCAGTCATACTTATTTAAATTAAAGATGTTAGGTATTGTCTTGTTAAAATTAATTTTCCGATAAGAAAGTATATTTCTACTATTTAATAATATTTGCATTTCATAAAAAAATATCATGCTATGAACTTGAAAAAATACTTTATTTAACAATGATGAAAATAAAGTCTAAAGAAGATTTATAAAATAATGTAATTATTTTATTAAACATTTTTCGCCACTGAATATACCTACTTGAAAAATTAATTTTTTCTCTCACAAGCGGTATTAATTTCATCACTTTTGTATATAAGGGAATTAAAATCAACATCATTTAAATGCATTATGATTGTAGGTATATAGTGTATTGAGTTTATATTGCAGGGCTCGGATTGTACGACTTTTTCGACTTTTTTCGACTTTTTTGTGAAAAAATGCGATTAATCGACTTTTTCGACATTTTTTTTAGTAAAATGCCACTGAAATTAAAATTTATTTTTTAATTTAAAGGAAAAAGTTTGAGTCAAAAAAATGTTCTGTTACATTTATTTACAAATTTCTTTTAAATTTTTCGAAAACATCAATAACTTCTTTTTAAAATAAATATTTAAATATTATTCTTCCATAGGAATTAAAATTTTTCAAAAGATTTAAATTCAAACCTTTTTGAAATTAAACAACTTATAAAAAATTGTGATAAAACATGAAGAAATCGATCACTCCGAGTCTTCGACTCTGAGCAATCGATGTCTTCATGTTTCATAATAATTAAAGATGACCGAGTGATAAAATCATTATATTTTATATTATAAAACTTTTTAAAAAAAAATTTTTTTAATTACTTTTTATGCAAATAATTGAATTATTAGAAACAAAATAAAACATTAGTAAATAATTAAATTGTGCAGAAGAATTTTGATATTTATAAAGATAATTGAAATTTTGAGACGAATTTAAAAAAAAAATTTGAAAATAATTTAATTTCTGCCAAGAATTTTTTTACTTCTGAAGATAATTGAAATTTTGCCAAGGATTTTATTAAAATTCTTTGCAAATAATTGAATTTTAGAAAACAATTTTTTTATTCACGAAGATAATTGAAATTTTGAACAGATTTTTCTTAAAAGTAAATTGAAATTTGTAGAAGAATTTTGATATTTATAAATATAATTGAAATTTTCAAAATAATTGAATTTCTGTAAAGAATTTTCGTACTTTTGAAGATAATTGAATTTTGCAAAGAATTTTATTATAACTTTTGAAAATAATTAAATTTTTATGATGTATTTTATTATTTATAAAATTTTTAAAAAATTTTAAAAAAATTTTGAATATAATTGAATTTTTGCGAGGAATTTTATTACTTTTGAAAATAATTTAATTTCAGAGAAGAATTTTATTAAAATTTTTTTTTAAATATTGAATTTCAGAAAAGAATTTTATTTTTTATAAAAAAAATTAACATTTTTAAGAGAATTTTTAAAAAAATGTTAAAAATACCTAATTAAAATTTTGTTATGAATTTTAGTAAATTTTTTAAAATTTTATTCCGGATTGTTTGATATTAATGTGTCTGTTGTCGAGAAATGTGATTTTTTTACAATTTTGACAATTTCGTGTTTTCTTTTTGTCGTTTTTTCTAAGATTTCATGCGACTTTTTTCCGACTTTTTCGGAAATTTTATGCGACTTTTTGTGACTTTTGTTGTAAATTTATGCGACTAAAGCGACTTTTTTTTTATTTTTAAAGACGATCCGAGCCCTGTATTGCTATAAATTGTGAATTTACGTCAAGTTGTGAGTTTCAATCTCAAATTATGTATGTTGTGTGTTGAACCACAAAAAAGTGTAGCTTGAAATAGGTGTTAAAGAGCAAAGATATGTTAATTTCTTAAAAGATTTTTTTAGAAAAGCAACAGTTTTGATAAAAATGCAATGCTCATGTACTTTAAAATTGATAGCATGATTGAAGATAAAATAGAAATGAAATCACTAGTACATGATATTGAATTGATTTAATTATACCTACGATGAAATGCATTTCTTGATATTATAGCATTTTCTATTGACACTAAAATTTCTGTGATATTATAATTCAAGATTTATTTAAATCTACAGTGCAATAATCAATAGCACATGTTATTAAACTCAGTGTAGTTTTCTAGCATAATATTAGAATAATAATTTTCGAATAGTAGGTACATACTACTTTCGAAGTAATGTTTGCATGAACAATTATTTCGATATAAAGAATGTGAAGAAAAAAATTTAGAGGAGCTTTCAGATAAAAATCCTCCCCATTTAGTTGTTAATTCGAAGCTGGGAAAAAATGCTTAAAGAATTGAGATAACATTTCTTCTCCTTAAGGACTGCCTTTTTCTTGGATAAATATCTGACCACAAGAGGATAAAAGGACGTTAAAAAGGGATGACAAACCCTTAAATTCAGCCAATGTCTTCTAAACCAAAGACCTTAATCCACGGGATCCACGGCATTTCCATAGAGCCCTGAAGAATATCTATTAGGGTTATTCATTCTCTGTCCCGATCGTGACTCCGCACAAGGTACAATCAACTGGTCGGGCAGCGAGCTAGCAACCCTCGTTACGCCCACGAGATATCCGGTTCCGGGTTAAAGGCCACTGGACTCGAGCGTCCAAGGCCTCGGCTTGAACATTGGCATGCACAATCTATGCTACTCTCTCCTGGATTCGGTGGCGGGGAAGGAGGCGCGGCGGGAAGTGTTAGATGGTTTGGGGTGGAAAGGGTATAAAGGGGCTAAGTGTGATTAACCGCCCTTATGCTCTTCCGCAGTGCGGACGTGTACGTTGCGCCGCTGGAGCTTTAGCACAAGAGTTAGAATATTCCAAGTCTGTGGAAAGGGTCAAAGGTTATCTGAGAGAGGAGCGTCTTCTGGTTCGTATGCATCCCCTCGCCATTCGACTACGTGACCTTCGACTACGTATAAACTTACACGAAACCTTAAAGCTGTCCACTAAGGCCTGCGAGTCGCAATCTCGATCGAGACGACCTATTAGGCTCAGCCTAACAGAATTTTATGTACCTACCTCCACGATGAGAATCGTATGTTTAATCCAACACGCGATTACGAAAACAGGGTAGCCACAAAAATTTTATTTTCTTTTTCCCTGACTTTTCCCTGAAGAATATTCTGATTCACTCTGAAAATTATTAGATACACATGAAATCGTGAGGTGTTAAAATAACACCATTTTGGTGTTAGTTTTGACTGTGAATGAAATTTTAGTTCAAATCAAAACCAAGTCAACGATTTGTCGAAGAAAGTCAAAGTGAATCTAATTGTAAGTTTAAGATTAAATATGGTCAAAGTGAGTCTAAGTCTTAGTCTTAGTCTTAGTCAAATTCATGGTCAAAGTCATATTTAAAGTCCTATTTAAAGTCTCATTCAAAGTCTTCATCAAAGTCTTAGTCTAAGTCTTAGTTAAAGTATAATTCTAAGTCTTAGTCAAAGACAAAGTCAAAGTCTTAGTCAAAAGCATAGTCAAAGACTACGTCTAAGACTAAGACTGAGGCTTTGTATTAGAGTAAGACTAAGACTTTGACTAAAAATAGTACTTGACTAAGCCTTTGACTATGACTTCAACTAAGACTTTGACTTTGACTTTGACTCGCTTTAACTTTCTTTGACAAATCGTTGGCTTGGTTTTGATTTGAAGTAAAATTTCATTCATAGTAAAAAATAAAACCAAAATGGATTATTTTTATCTTTTATTGTGTTAATTTAATCTTCAACGCTTTTTAATACCTCACAATTTACTGTGCACTCAAAAGACTATTCTATTACATTAACTTACGATTTTCTTTAATTGTAAAATTATTCAAAAACATCAATAACGTATTTTCTAGATAAATATTTAAATTTTAAACATTATTATTTTTCCACAAGGAATTAAGATTTTTAAAAACTTTAAATTCAAACCTTTTTGAAATTCAACAACTTAGAAGAATACTCAGAGTGATTGATTTCTTCGTGTTTTATAATAATTCATCATTTCAATTCAATTATTATTTTTTAGAATTTTTAACTAAAATTCTCTTTTAAAACAATTTTCAAAAAGTTCTTTGAGATTTTTCAAATACATTTGTCTACAATTCAATTTTACGAAATTTCTTCTATTCAGAAATTCTGCAATTAAATATATATTTAAAAAAGAAAATTTCAAATAATTTCAAAAATATAATTAGGGTCAATTGGGGTAAATGTAAACGGAATATCTATTTTTCAGCAAAAACATTAGTTTTTTTTATTGGAAAAACTTTTACGTCCGAGTTTATTTTATTAAATTGATAGGTAAAATAACTTTTTACACGAATACATTCGAACAAGTGGTTTTTAATATAAAAAAAATTGTTATTGTTTTATTTTATTTATTTACTTTTTTTTTTTTTTTTTTTTTTAATTTTTAATTTTTTTTCTATTTATTAATTTTGTTTTATTTATTTA